CACTCACTCATCCATCCATCCATCCATCCATCCATCCATCCATCCATCCACTCACCCACCTATCCACTCATCCACCCATCCACTCGCCCAGCCATCCATGTATCCATCCACTCACCTACCCATCCATCCATCCATCCACCCACCCACCCACCCCTCCATCCATGCACCTATCGACCTACCCATCCATTCATCCATGCATCTATGCACCCACCCACTCACCCATCCATCCACCTTCTCCATCCATCCATCCACCTTCTCCATCCATCCATCTACCCACCCACTCACCCACCCACCCACCCATCCATCCATGCACCTATCGACCCACCTATCCATTCATCCATGCATCCATCTACCCACCCACTCACCCGTCCATCCATCCATCCTTCCATCCACCATCCATCCATCCATCCACTCACCTACCTATCCATGCATCCACCCATCCACTTGCCCACCCATCGATGTATCCATTTTCCCACCCATTCACCTATCCACCCACCCATCCATTCACCCATTCTTCCACTCAGTCATCTGCCCATCCATCCTTCCACACATCCTCTCTTCCATTCATCTATTCATCTGTCTATCCAAACAAGCATCTGCACATCCACCTGCGTATTTTCCACCCACTCCTCTATCCATCCTTCCATTCACCCATCTACCTACCCACCCTTCCAAACATGCACTCATCCACCCACCCAGCTACCCAGCCTCCAATTCAGCTGAGTATTGAGTACCAAGACACTGAGGTAATAGAGATAAAAGAAAGACACCATTCTTGCCCTTGAGTTAGGTGAAAAAGTGAGGAAAGACCCTTCCTGGTTGGTGGAATCATTGGGTAAAAGAGATATGAGTAACAGTCGTCGGGCACAATGGGGGCACGGTGAGAGATGAGGCCCTCAGAAAGGTCTTAGCTAATCATGGGGGCCTGGAAGCCTTGTTAAGAGGTGGATTTTATTCCAAGGTGACAGGGAGTGACACAGCAGAGACAGTCTCCTGCCAGTTCTATAAATGACTTGTCCTGTGGCCTTGGAAAATACCATGCTTTCCCATAGGAAGAGAACAGATGAACCTAAGAACTATGTAGACAAGTAATACTTCGATGAATAGAATTCATCGATGAGGAGTAAATCAAGATTAACATGTTTAAAGAGCCAAGCTTATGTATGTTCCTCACTGGCCTACCTCAAGCACTTCTGCATGGTAAAATCTGCTGATTGGCGAGTCTTCCTTCCAAAAACCCAAGTAGGAGTTAGTATCTCCTGGAGCTTCATTCATTGAAAGCACAGAAACAGAGCACCAGTTCCAGCACCGTGTAAGACAGTCTCCTTCAGAGTCAGAGGTGAGACCCCACACAGGTGACATGGAGAGTTGGATTGGACTCCACCTGAAGGTCACAGTCCCATGTTTGTCCCAGTGGCCAACTCCCTTTCTGTCCCTCTGCCCAGCCTCTCCCCACCTTCAGGCACACAGGGATATCTCCTGCTCTTTCTAAGCAGCATTTTAACCCATAATGTGAATTTAAATGCATTAGAAACCTTCTCTTTAAATTTGGAATGAGCCAGGTGTGGTGGCTCACGCCTGGAGTCCCAGCACTCCGGGAGGCTGAGGAGGGCAGATCACAAGGTCAAGAGATTGAGACCATCCTGGCCAACATGGTGAAACCCTGTCTCTATTAAAAATACAAAAATTAGCCAAGTGTTGTGGTGCACACCTGTAGTCCCAGCCACTCGGGAGGCTGAGGCAGGAAAGTTGCTTGAGCTCGGGGGATGGAGGTTGCAGTGAGCCAAGATCGTGCCACTGCACTCCAGCCTGGTGACAGAGTGAGACTCTATCTCAAAATAAATAAACAAATAAATAAATTTGGAATGAAGAACTGTGACCCAGTTTGAAAAAATTTCAGCTTTAAACAGCATATGGAAGAGAGAGAGTGTGTGTGTATGTTTCTGTGTGTAGAGAGAGAAAAAGAGAGAAAGAAACAGACAGAGAGAGAGACAGACAGACAGAGTCTCCCTCCGTCTAGCCCAGGCTGGAGGGCAGCCATCATGGCTCAGTGCAGCCTCCACCTCCCTGAGAGGTCAGGTGATCCTCTCATCTCAGCCTACCAAATAGCTGGAACTACAGGTGCACCTCACCACACCAGGCTAATTTTTGTATTTTTGTATTTTTTTTGTAGAGATTGGGTTTTGCCATGTTGCCCAGGCTGGTCTCAAACTCCTGGGCTCAAGCAATCCACCTGCATTTGCTTCCCGAAGTGTTAGAATTACAGGTGTGAGCCACCGCACGTAGCTCCTGAGCTGTATTTTTGAAAAGAGGAGCTTCTTAGATCTTATTTAAAGTGGACTATGTAATGGGACAGCTCTCCCATCACCTCCGCCAGCCCCACTGCAGCCTGTCCTGGCAGAAGTGAGGGCCTCACACATCAATGAACTTCTCTCTAGCATTGGAACCAGAATTAAACCTAGTTTAATCCTGGCTCGGAAAAAGTCTTTACTAAGGATTCATCTTCAAATCTGGGGATGAGCACTATCATTTTCATTAAAACTACATTTAGTAAAAGCTGTTCACAAATGTTTATTCTAAGAAGAATTTTATTTATTTATTTAATTTACTTATTTATTTATTTGAGACAGAGTTTCACTCGTTACCCAGGCAAGAGTGCAATGGCACGGTCTCGACTCACTGCAACCTCTGCCCCCCAGGTTCAAGTGATTCTCCTGCCTCAGCCTTCCCAGTAGCTGGGATTATAGGCATCTGCTACCACGCCCAGCTAATTTTGTATTTTTAGTAGAGACAGTTTTCTCCATGTTGGTCAGGCTGGTCTTGAACTCCCAACCTCAGGTGATCTGCCTGCCTTAGCCTCCCAAAGTGCTGGGATGTGAGCCACTGTGCGCAGCCTCAATTAATTTCTAAAATTCTTCTGACTGGGAGTGGAGGTCGAGGCGGGTGGCTTACCTGAGATCAGGAGTTTGAGACCAGCCTGGCCAACATGGAGAAACCCCGTCTCTTTTAAAAATATAAAAATTATCTGGGTGTGGTGGCACATACCTGTAATCCCAGCTACTCAGGAGGCTGAGGCAGGAGAATCACCTGAATCTGGGAGGCAGAGGTTGCAGTGAGCCTAGATCGTGCCACTGCACTCCAGCCTGGGTGACAGAGCAAGACTCTGTTTAATTTTTTAAAAAATTCATTTTTGAATGTTCCCATAAAAATGGGTGAGAGTGGAGTTTAAGATCGTGAAATCTAATTTTAATACACAAATACAAACATTCACCAGACCATCTTTACGGCACCATCTGACCATTTTTTCAGTCAAAAGGAAATGCACTCATCTCTCTGGACCCCCCAAAGGTTATACAGGGGCCCACTGTGCTTCCAGAGTACACAGGATGTTTAAAGTAACAGATCCCTCAAACTGTATTATGGGAAGTTTAAGCGACAAATGATTAATAAAAGTAATCATGTTCATGTAGTTTGAATGCTTACAACGATTCTACTATGAGTGGAAACGATTTCCTCATTTCTTTCTTCTCTTTATGAAAATGGGCTCCCACCCATTTTCACCTGGGGCCACCTCCCTTCCTCACACTTATTTACTTGTTATATATTTGAGATGGAGTCTTACTCTATCGCCCAGGCTGGAGTGCCGTGGCACGATCTCAGCTCACTGCAACCTCCACCTCCCAAGCAATTCTCCTGCCTCGACCTCCCAAGTAGCTGGGATTACAGGTGTCCACCACCACGCCCGGCTAATTTTGTATTTTTAGTAGAGATGGGGATTCGCCATATTTTCCAGGCTGGCCTCGAACTCCTGACCTCAGGTGATCCACCTGACTGGGCCTCCCAAAGTACTGGGATTACAGCCATGAGCCACCGCGCCGGCCCGTCATGCTTCTTTCCACCGACCCTCAAAATTCTTCAGGGAGGTCCTCCCGGACCAGGAAGGGGCTCTAGGGACTTGGGAGGGTGCGTGGAATAGGCTAGTTTCTGAATCGTGGCCGTTCCCCACTTTCCATCTCTGGCAGCTTGACCGCTACTCCAGGGCCACCTTTACCCCAAAACCCAGGCCAGGTGCAGTCTGAATTTGGCTGTCCTCCGCCCCTAACTCTGCTTCCCTAGAAGAGCTGAGAAGCATGCACGGCGGTAACTCTAGAAATAATTTGAGAAGTTGCTTGTTGTCGAGGACAGAAGGAGCTGACCGGCTTCCACCTCAGCGCATTCCCCTTGGCGCTGACTCGGGAAAGGAGAGCCCTGGGTGGCCTCGCTGAGTAACCCTGGGATGCTGAGGGCGCTGCCAGGGCCCTGGTCAGGGAGAGGGGTCAGCTCCACGCAGAAGGTGAGCCGGAAGCGGATGACACCTGCCCAGGTGACCAGGGACCAGGCCTCGGGCTCGAGGAGCGCACCCCGTGCCAGGGCTAAGGCCAGGGTCTCCTCCCCTCGCCAGCAAGGACCAGAGCACCTGCCACCTGGCCGGCACCCAACCCCCAGGCCCGAGGCTCCTGCCCTCGGAGGGGCGAGACGGGGGCTCCGTGGACTCTGCCATTCACGAGACTTCCACGAGGAACAAAGGTCTCCGTGCCGGCCTCGGGTCCCGAACCCGGCGCCCTGACTACCCCGGGGCCCAGGGCGCGGCGCTCCGGCAGGCACTGGGCCGGAGAGCGGGCGGAGGGCGCGGGGGAGACGGCGGTACCTGTGGGTGGAGACGGCGGGCATCCCTGTCCCCGCTGGCTGCTGCCTGCCCGGCCGCGGTCCCCGCTGCTGCAGCATCACCCGGGGCGGGGCGCTGACGTCACGGCCGCAGCCTCCGCATCCGCGCCGGCCCCGAGCCTTAAAGCGGCGCCGCGCCCGGGGCCTCGCGGCGGGAGGGGAGCCCGAGCCCGCCGCCCTCCCGGGCCCTTCCCGCGGGGGACCCGACCCGGGGCTTCGCGCACGACGGCGCGGTCTCCGGGACCTGCCAGTATCCCAGGGGAGAACGGCCCGCTGGCCGCACGGTTCTCCCTGATTTCTTCTGATTCTAAAAGAAGTGAATGCATTTTGGTGTCTTCAGGTATAAATAGACGCCCATGTGCTCGCCATTCGCGGATGCCGCAGTGCGTGCGCTAAGCCTGTGCCCACGTGCGCAGCGGAGGAGCCGGGCCGGCGGGAGGCCTCGCGACTCTGGCGCTGTCCAAGGCGCTGGGGATGCGGCAGGGAACGAGGCAACGTTCGCGGCTCCGGGAAGGGACATTTTATTTATTTATTATTTATTTCCTTTTTTAAAATACAGAGAGACGGGGTCCTCCTATGTTGCCCAGGCAGGTCTCCACTCCTGGGCTCAAGTGATTCTTCTGCCTCGGCCTCCCAAAGTACAGCCGTGAGCCACCGCACAGGCTGCATGCCATTTGAGAGAGACACATATACATTACACAAGACATAAATTGTATGTTGGAAGACGGACACGCCCTAAAGAAGGGGTTAGGGAGTGTGGGGCTGGGGAGGGGCTGGCCTTGCAGGCTTCCATCAGATTGTTGGGAGCCCTCACCTCACAGGTGACATTAGAAGAAGGACTTGAGGAGCAGGCCGGTCGCAGTGGCTCACGCCTGTAATTCTTACTCTCTGGCAGGCCAAGGCAGGCAGATCACCTGATGTCAGGAGTTCGAGACCAGCCTCGCCAACATGGAGAAACCCGTCTCTACTTAAAACACAAAAGTTAGCCAGGCATGGTGGTGGGTGCCTGTAATCCCAGCTACTCGAGAGTCTGAGGCAGGAGAATCTCTTGAACCGGGAGGCAGGGGTTGCAGTGAGCTGAGGCCGTGCCACTGCACTCCAGCCTGGGCCACAGAGTGAGACTCCATCTCAAAAAGAAAAGAAGGACTTGAGGAGCTAAAGGGGCCAGCCAGGCTGCCATGAGGGGGAAGTCACGCCTGGCACTGGGAAGGGCCAGTGCGAAGGCCGGGGGGAGGGGGCAGAAGTGAACTGGGCAGAGTCAAATCATTACGGATCAAATGATCATGCAGCCAAGAGTGGAATTCCAACCCCGGTGAGGTGTCACAGAGGGGGCACGGGCCCTGTGGAAGTCTACAGTGGCAGACTCCACCCCGTTGGGAGGGTTGAGGGCTCCTCAAGTGCACTAGCAGAACAGCATTTCCCATGCAGGGGGCTGGGGGCTCAGCACCAGCAGAGCTTGGGGAGGGGAGAGGCCCTGGAGGCACACAGCAAAAGAAGTGGAGGGGCAGGATCAGAGGCCTGGGAAGGAGGTGGAGTGGGGAGGATTCAGGTGCCTGGGGAGGAAGTGGAGGGGGAGGATGCAGGGGCCTGGG